TTCAAGTCAGCATAGAAGTAGCTCCAAAGAAATAACTGGTGATGTATTTATTTAAAAACAAAACCAAAAACCAAGCACCAAAAGCCTTAGCGAGCACAGTTCTACACTAATTCTGGGTCTTGGATTTTGCTTGGCATGGCCACAGAGACATAAAACATTTGAAAACAAAGAAGCTTTTATTTGGCTAGCCATGCCAATGACTGCACTGGATTCATGTCACCAAGATGGCTTCTAAGTCTTGGGCCAAGAGACTTCTAAGGTAGTAACTGGCATCTGATTGATGTTCATCACAGGATGATTCAACACAATAACTAGTCTTCTGTGTATCCTCAGTGGGAAAGAAGAGTGGCAACAATGATGTTTTGCCCATGTAGGGGATGCTGATGAAGGTGTGATTTTAACTTTATGACACCAAAGGGTTAGGTACAAGGCATGCTGGTTACTTCTTCTCATAGTTGGTAGGCCAGATATGGTTCTAGCTAGTTCTATGACCTCAGCCCTAAGGTAAACAATGAACCCAGGAAGCTAATGCATAGTTGTGCCCCTAAGCACCATTTCTGGACTCTGTCTCATTCCCTCCTTTTCTTTTCAGTGTTAGGATGCTCAATTCAAACCCTAATCTTTAATAGAAGCATGGAGTGATGGTGATTCTTCGGTAACTACGTCAGCCTGATCAGAGGCATTGGCATAAAAGTATTGTCTGATTTTGACTCAGGAATCTGAGGAAACAGGATAATAGCCTTGGTCATTTCCTAGAAACCCTACGCAGGGTCCCTATGAGTTGGAATCAACTCAAAGGCACTAAACAACAACAATAAATATCAACTGTAAGTGAGGTTGTTGGAGCCTGGGACCCTTAGTAAATATACTTCTCTTCCCAGTTCTCAGCTAGACTTAAATGGAACCACAGAGCTAAAATTTAGGGAGGCTAGGCTAGCTTTCATCCTGAAACATAAGGTTAGGAGAATAACGTGAACAAACTTCACTATGAGTTCAGTTACTTTTACATAAAAAAAATGGAAAAAAACTGAATGTGTTAAGGAGAAAACAGGAGCTGGTAAAGCATGAAGTACTATGAAGAATATCCATAGCAAGCTTACTAACACCACTTAAGGGTCGCTCTTAACCATAATCTTGATCTGAACTTTTTCTTTTAAGCAATCTCTTTAATCAGCTATTGGTTCAGCTTCCCAACTGCAATCATTCTATGGCACCTGTCCCTCTAAATCAGGAAGGGTGGCTGGCTTGATTCTGATACAGTGAATCTATGAAATCTTTCTGCTGACTCTTCTGCCAATAGTTAGGGTAAGACATCAACTTTTTCTGTCAAGATCATGGAATCCCAAGTTTGAATCAAACCCAATTTCCAGGTGTTGCATAGTACAGGCATATCTCAGGGGACAGGAGAATTGGGTGTACAGAAGAAGCATGTCTGTGGAGAGACTCTAGAGTTGCTCCTACCCATACACCTCTACGCATGCCTGCCAGGTGCAGGTATCATTGGAAAAGAAAACAGAAATCAGTTTGCCTTGTTCATGTAGGGTATTGGCCATGAGACCTCTTGTAATATCCTTACAACATCAATATGAACTATTATGGTTATAGATCAGGGGTCACTCATGAATGAGTTCAAAGGGGCTTACCATTATTAATTTAGTTCTAGGAAAAACTTGAACTCTGAAGAGAGCAATAGGAAGGACCTTCATCCATGACATTTTTGCTTTTTGGCACAGTTTAACTAAGTGGGTCTTAATGGTCCAATTTATTTCAATGTCAGCATTTCCATTTGACTGTGGTCTCCAGGCACAACTAAAATGTCAGTCTATAGGTAAGCTGTGCTGCAAAATGAGGCCCATTATCTCTCCCGATACACTTGTATTAATGCTTTTTTCTTTCAGGTCTTTTGGTGTGGCACTATAGGATAACCATTTGACTGAAAACCACAAGGTCAGCAGTTCAAATCTACCAGCCATTCCTCGGAAACCCTATAGAGGGTCACTATGAGCAGGAACAGATTCGATGGCACCAGCATCAGGCCTTTGGCTACTTCAGTTGCCTTCTTAGTTGTGCACTTCAGTGCACCTCTCCCTAATTGGAGAACATAAATACAAACACTGCTAGCAGTGATTAGTTTTTATAGTCACAATTAGTCCTGTTAACAGTCACTCACCACTGAATCATAATTCTATGAACATATTCCTTACCTTCTCTTCCACAGACCCATCAAGAAAAAAGAAAACTATTTAGTGGGAATTCTCTTTATCCCCCTCTTGAAAGCTTTTAAAGTAGCCACTTCATGCCTAATTTCTAAATTTCTCTTTCCTATGTGATGCTGTAGGATCTTTGCATATTGGAATATCATACTTTAGTTTGTTTTCTTTAGGTGACTTTAAAAAAATTTTTTTTCATCTTACATTTACTCATTTTTTCCAGTTGTTTTGCTTATCTATGGCTCAAGAGCAAGTGTCAGACATCCATTTTGGTTTTTCTTTCTTTCTTGTCTTTTTAATGACCTTTTTCTTTCTTCCTGTATGATATTCTTGATGTTGTCCCACAGCTGTTCTGGTTCTAGGTCATTAGTGTTTAATGCATCAAATCTGCAATTATTACATTAAACTACTTCCTTGTAGTGAGGACATTATCTGTGTTATTATGAGAAGTAAGGATTATATTTATTTCAGCTGGAGGCTGTTAGTGATGATGGTATCAGTTAGGTGTTATCTGTCTAGAAAAACTTGTACCATCCAATATCTCACTGTCAATTCAGGTGAGATTATGGATAGCCCTCACAGGGTCTGAGACAGGCTGAGCCTTGGAACCAGTCACTGTAAACTTTGGCAGCATTGGACTGGGTTAGGCAGGACTGATTTAAAAAGAGATAATGGAGTTAGATGCAGATTTGCAACCTTTGGTACTTTGCCAAATAAATTTAGGGCTAAAATCAGTCAAAATTAGAATGAATAGAAGAAACAAGCAAACAAAGTCAGGGATAGAGTTTTTTGTTTTATTTTCTTTTAAATGAGAATTTCACATTTCCAGTTATGGATTCTGCTTTGTACATTCCACACACATGCCTTGTCAAAGACCAGAAGAGTTTTCTCAGCTACTCAGCTATGTTGTTAGGTGCCATTAAGTCAGTACCAACCCCATGCATCTTACCAAAAATGATATCCCTCTCCAGTGACTGGTCCCTCTTGACAATATGTCTGAAGTATGAGAGACAAAGTCTGGCTATCCTGACCTCCAAGGAGCACACAGACTGCACTTCCTCCAACACAGATCTGTTGGTTCTTTTGGCAGCCCATGGGACTTTCAATATTCTCCTGTAACACCATAACTCAAAAGCATCAATTCTTGCTTATTCACTGTCCAGTTTTCACTTGCATATGAGGTTATTGAAAATGCCATGGCTTGTCTCAGGCTTACTTTAGTCCTCAAGCTAACATATTGCTCTTCAACACTTTAAAAGGTCTTGTACAGCAGATTTGTCTAGTGCAATATGTCATTTGATTTCTTGGGTGCTGCTTCCATTAGAGTTGATGGTTGATCCAAGAAAAACGAAGTCTTTGACAACTTCTATCTTTTCTCCATTGATAAGAATGTTGTTTATTGGTCCAGTGGTGAGGATATTTGTTTTCTTGAATTTAAATGCAATCCATACCGAAGGCTATTGTCTTTGATCTTCATCAAGAAGTATTTTAAGTTCTCTTCACTTCCAGCAAGCAAGATTGTACCAACTGCATATCATAGGTTGTTAATGAGTCTTGTTCTAATTCTGATGCCATGTTTTTCTTCATATAACCCAGCTTCTTGAATTATTTGCTCAGCATATAGGTTGAATAAGTGTGGTGAAAGAATACAACCCTGTTACACACCTTTCCTAATTTTAAATCATTCAGTGTTCCTGTGTTCTGTTCTAACAACTGCCTCTTGGTCTATGTACAGATTCCTCATGAGCACAATTAAGTGTTCAGGAATACTCATACTTGGCAATGTTGTCCATAGCTTGTCATGATCCACAAAAATGGAAAGCCTTTGCACAGTCAATAAAGCACAAGTAAACATCTTTCTGGTATAGTTCAGACTGAACAGTGAACCCCTATTTTCCTTCTGTATAATTTTTGTTTTGCCCCATGCCTATTATAGAGCTTAGTCTCTAAACAGATAAAAATGATTCTGACCCCTCAGGATTATTTAAAGGATTATGTTAGGTAGAAATATAAAAGAATATAATGAATACCATTAAAAAAAAAAAAAGAGAGAAGAAAAGTTGAATTTCATTGAGGATATGAGCCACTAGCTACTCTGCAAGAAAAATATAAGGCTTTCTGCTCCTGCAAAGATTTACAGCTTTGAAAACCTTATACAGAGTTGCTATGAGGTAGAATTGACTCAACAGCATTTAACAACAACAACGTGATGGTATCAAACTAATCATTTATTTTCAGGTATTGTCACTTCAGTTGTTGTTGTTGTTGTTGTCATTTCAGAGAAGCAATAAATCCCAAAGTGCTGTCTCTTCAAAGGAAATCCCTAAAACAAGGCAAAACTATCTTGATTTCGAGTCTCACTGAAAATGTTCCTCTTTATCTCATGCCATTGTTTTGAAACACGATTTACAATGGGTATTTGTAAAGGTGACTTAAATAAGATTTAGGTCTCAGGAAAAATAAAGTTTAGTAGGGTAGGCCACTAACTATCAATCTATCACAAGTAATGGATTTATTATAAATACACACTTGATAATGAATTAGAAAAAACAACTCACAGGGTGCTTTTCTTGTTGTTAAGTGTCGTAGAGTCTGTTCCGACTTGGCGGCACTTAACAATAGATAAGAAAAACTCTGGTATGAGATTTAATATGGTTTGGCAATCATATTATTTCTGAAGGTGAGAAGATGGGGGTCTTGTTTAAACAAAAGATGTTTTACTTTTGTAGCTTATTTTCTACATGAAACTGATGGCTGCTGATTTTTGTAATTTGTAGAGAACACCTTGCAATGGAGTCCTCACTTCCTGAATTACCAGCTGACACAGTTCAACGCATTGCCTCTGAACTTAGATGTCACCCCACAGATGAGAGGGTCGCTCTCCACCTTGACGAGGAAGATAAACTGAGGCACCTCAGGGAGTACTTTTATATCCCCAAAATGCGGGATCTGCCTCCAAGTAAGAATAATGGGAAGATTGGTGATTTTCTTTATTTTGTTTTTGTTGTTTATACACTTTATGAACAAATTGCCATTATTGTTGTTGTTGTTAAGTGCCATAGAGTTGATTCTGACTCATAACAACCCTGTATAGGGTTTCCGAGGAGCAGATGGTGGGTTTTAACTGCTGACCTTGGGTACACAGTCCAGGGCTGATCCACAGTACCATACTAGTTTATCATAAATCTTTGAATCCGTTGCATAATAGGATCATTGCAGTTGTGTCTGAGAGATAACAGGTCTCTGGTGCTATTAATTCAAACTGTCAATCTACCTAAACCCCTTTTTGCTTATTCTCCTCACCTGAATAGAATGCTTATGGGCTCCTTAGACTCTCATCTGTTTCTCTGAACAATAGAGAGACTAATTAAAAATTACAGACAGATGCATTTACCTGTTCTCTAAGTACTTCCGAGCTCAAAACAGTTGCTTTTCAATACAATATAACAATTGAGTCTTGAACAATATGGGTTTGAACTGCATGGGCCCCAATATTGTTTTTCCCCTTTGTTATTTCAGTGAACTCAAATGTTGAGAGGATCAGCTTAAAACGTGTGGTGTTACTTTTCTCCCAGTGAGCAGCTTTTCTCCATGTAAGCAGTAACTGTAGAGAGGAACTGCTCACATACATATGATTAGTGTCACACATGCATTTTAAGTGGGTACTTGTAATTCTTGAGCTCACCACAATAACAAGAAAAAAAATCTGCATATAAGTGGACACACACTGTTCAAACCCAAGTTCCGTGTTCAAGAATCAACTGTAAATTATAAGCAGATGGTTGTCTGCGTCGGTAATCAGCATCCCCAACTCTACATGTTCAGGGTCAACTGTGTATTCTTTTTGGTGATGGCCAGTTTATGATAGCATTATAGTTTATCGTAGTTGTTGTTGTCAAGTGCTGTCAAGTCAGGTCAGACTCATAGCAACCCTGTGTAGGGTTTCTGAGAAGTGCTGATGAATTTGTCCCAACCTTGTGGATCAAGTCAAGTGCTTATTCTACAGAGAGGGGATATTATTTTAGGATTTGGGGTACAATAGGAGAGATGTTATGTATACAACTATCTTTGTATGATCTGAGTAAAGATGGAGTTTATGTTGTTTTTACGTGCCTTCTAGGCATTTCCAGCTCCCAGAGATCCAAAATACAAGAGAACAAAGCCCTGTCAGGTCTTGTGCCATCTTCACAATCTTTCCTATGTTTGAGACATTGTTGCAACCACTGTGTCAATCCATATCATTGAAGGTCTTTCTTTTTCTCTCTTAACCTCTATTTTACCAAGCTTGATGTCCTCCAGGGATTGGTCCCTCCCAATAATGCATACCAAGTGCTTGACATAAAATCTCATCATCTTTATTTTTAATGAGCATTTCAACTGTACTTCTTCCAAGACGAATTTGGTAGTTCTTCTGTCATTCCAAGGCCTATTTAGTATTCTTTACAAATTGCATAATTCAAATTCATCAATTCTTCTACCCATCTTCTTTATTCAAAGCCCAGCTTTTTCATGCATATGTGGTGATTGAAAATTCCATTGGTCAGGCGCACCTTAGTCTTCAAAGTGAGGTCTTTGCTCTTTAACATTTCAAAGAGGTCTTTTTTTTTTTTTTTTTTTTTAGCACATTTGCCCAATGTAATATGTTTCTTAATTTCTTGAGTGCTGCTTCCATTGGTGCTGTATGTGGATCCAAGTAAAATTAAATCCTTGGCAGTCTTGACATTTTCTCCATTTGTAACAATGCTGTTTATCAGTTCAATTGTGCAGTTATTGTTCTGTTTTGATTTTGTTTCACATTGAAGTACAATCCATTCTGAAGGCTGAAGTCTCTTAATTTCATCAATAAGTGCTTCTCGTCCTATTCACTGTAAGCAAGCAAGGTTATGTCATCTACATTTCACAGATTGCTAATGAGACTTCCTTCAGTCTTGATGCTGCACTCTTTTCATATAGTCCAGCCTCTTGGTTAATTTGTTCAGCATACAGATTGAATTGAATAAGTATGGCGAAAAGACAAAACTTTGGCGTACACTTTTCCTGATTTTAACCTATTTAGTATCCCCTTGTTCTGTGTGAAACTCCTGGTCAGTGTACAGGTTCAAAGACATATTTATATTGGTAGCTTAGTGGTTACAAATTGGGCTGTTAATCTCATGGTCAGCAGTTCGAAACTACCAGCTGTTCTGTGGGAGAAAGATGAGACTTTCTGCTCCCATAAAGATTTACAGCCTCGGAAACCCTGTGCAGGGTCACTATGAGTCGGAACCAACTCCATGGCACATAACAACAACAACAACAACAACAACAGCAACAACATATTTCCTTCAGAATTAAAGATAATTGCCTCATTGACTCTAGAAATTACCAATATCTTAGTTATGGTTCTTTCAAAACCATTTGCACCACCCAGTCACTCTGACATTTCACAAGTTATAAAGTAATAGCGTTAGATTACGGTCCTGGAATAGTATGCTCTATCCGAGGACAGTTGATTTAATTATATGTAACTATTCATGACAAGGAGCTCTGCTGCCTCTGTAGGATAAGCCGTGGGCTGCTAACTGCAGCTTCAGCAGTTCAACCTCATGCTGGACAAAACCATAGTTCTCTGCCTGCCACAGATATGAGACAAGGAAGACTCTGAGACAAACTTTTTTTGGAACAGAAAAGAAACAGCTTAATTTGCAAATTTATAAGTACAAGGAGATATAGAGATCTCTGCCACCATCTCCACAAGGTGGGGAATTAGTAGCGGTTCTGTGCTGTGGAAGCTGTAAAACAATAGGAGCAGAAAGCTTCATCTTTCTCCCATGGAGCAGCTGGTAGATTCAAACTGCTGACCTTGCAGTTAGCAGCCAAACTTATAGCCACTGTGCTACCAGGGTACTTTATATAGCTTCAGGGCAGCTTCAAGGAATAAACAAGAACAAATCATTACTTATCAAAAGTGAGAACCTGTCACAAAGCAAGATTCTTGGTACAGATCACAATGGTGAGACAATTAAGGTTCTAGTTTCTTGTGTGCTCTTTTCGACCCTATAGGACACTTTGATTTTTCATGCTTTGGTGGGTTGTAGTGTCAATAGTTAGGGCTGTTGCTAAGACACTCCAGTTGCTCGTATGTCAAGGAACTGCCTTTCGACAGAGAAACGTTTTACACATGTTTAACTAATCAGGTTCCTGATTCAAGAGGGAATGGAAAAGGGGTATGAGCAGGGAAACATTGTTGCTGGGCATTTCTCTGCCTATGGCCGAAATCTGCCTACATCAAAACCCACCAACCTCTGTGAGAAAGAAAGTTGAACTATTTGCTCCTGTAGAGATGTACAGCATCAGAAACCTTATACCAGGTTGCTGTGAGTCAGAACTGACTTGATTGCAGTGGATTGTTTTTGTACGTTTGTTTTTTAAATACTTATGACAACAGCTAGACTAATGCTTGGCCAAACAACTGGGAATCATAGTCTAGTCCAGTTGACACATGACATTAACCATTACAAAATATATTACAAATCTTTGTTCGTTGTTGTTGTTAGGTGCTATGGAGTGGGCTGTAACCCATAGCAACCCTATGCACACAGAAGGAAACACTGCCTAGTCTTTCATCTTTCTCACAATCGTTGCTGCCAGCATGCCAATCCATCTCATTGAATTTATTTAAAGCTCTTACCCTCTACTTTACCAACTTGGAGGCACTTCATTTTATTAACGCCTTCAGTCTGAAACTGATCAAACATACAATCAAGATGTTTTGGTAATTACAGGTGATTGGAATGTTAAGTGCGGAAACAAAGAGGAAGGGTCACTAGTTGGAAAATATGGCTTTGCTGATAGAAATTATGCTGGAGATTGCATGATAGAATTTTGCAAGGCCAATGACTTACTCATTACAAATACCTTTTTTAAACAACATAAAAGATGACTTATACACAATGACCTCAGCAGATGGAATACACGGGAATAAAACTGACTGCATTTGTGGGAAGAGAGGGTGGAAAATCTCAATATCATCAGCCAAAACAAGGCTGTGGGCTGACTGTGGAACAGTTCATAGATTGCTCATATGCAAGTTCAGGCTGAAACTAGAGAAAATTAAAACAAACACACAGTTATCAAAATATGACCTTGTACATATCCCATGTGAATTTACAAACCATCTCAAGGACACTTTTGATGCATCAGACAATAATGACTGAAAACTAGAAAAGTTGCTTGTATACCATTAAGAACATCATATAATAAGAAAGCAACAGGTTATTAAAGAGACAGGAAAGGAAAAAAAAAAGATAAAAACTGATGTAAGAAGAGATTCTGAAATTTGCTCTCTAGGGTAGAAATGCTAAAGTGAATGAAAGAAATGAGGAAGTCAAACGCTGAACAGAAACTTTCAAAGGACAGCTCAAGAGGACAAACTAAAATGTTATAATGAAATATTCAAAGAATCAGAATTAGAAACCAAAAGGAAAAAACATGCTCAACATTTCCCAGGCTGAAAGAACTGAAGAAAAAATGCTAGCCTCACCTTATAATACTGAGGCTTCAATGAGCAAAATATTGAGTGATGCAGAAAACATCAACAACAAAAAAAAAAAGATGGAAAGAATACAGTCACTCTACCAAAAAAAAAAAAGGAAGAAAAAGGCAATGTCCAACCATTTCAAGGGTAGCATATAATCAAGAACTGAGGGTAGTAACAGAAGTCTAAGCTGCATGGAAAGCACTGGTGAAAAACAAGTTTTTAGGAACTGATAATATACAAGTTGGAAGTTTTTAACAAACTGATGCAGCACTGGAGGTGCCAAGAAATTGAGAGCCAATGAAGTTGATGCAACATAATGTGGAAATCATTGAACAATATCATTATTATCAATGCAAGTAAAATTTAGCTGATGATTATTCAAAAACTGTTGTAACAGTACATCAAAAGAGAAATGCCAGAAATTTAAGCTAGGTTCAGAA